TTTGCCAGTACTTAATCCATTTTAACACCTAGGCTACTCTATTGACATTGGTTGTTTATTTCATGGATTTGGCACTTGAGGTAGCTGATAAGCCGTGTCGAAAACGTGCACAAAACGACCATTCTGTGCACGTTTTCGACACGGATTAAAAACCAGTTGTAAGCACAAATTTTTATATGATAATGGGAAATATTTAAATGAGCTAACCGCTATGATACATTTGCCTATCATGTAATGATGAATTTCTATTATATTATGGTGAATGCCTACCATTTTATGGTGAATGCCTATCACATAATGTTGAATGCCTATCATGTGATGGTGAATGCCTACCATGTTATAGTGAATGCCCATCATTTAATGGTGAATGGCTAGCATGCTATGGTGAATGCCTACCGAGTAATGGCGAATGCCCATCATGTAATGGTGAATGCCCATCATGTAATTGTGAATGCCCATCATGTTATGGTGAATGCCTACCATGTAATTGTGAATGCCCATCATGTTATGGTGAATGCCTACCATGTAATGGCGAATGTTTACCATGTAATGGTGAATGCCTACCATGTAATGGCGAATGCCTATCATGTTATGGTGAATGCCTATCATTTAATGGTGAATGCCCATAATGTAATGGTGCATGCCCATCATGTTATGGTGAATGCCTACCATTTGAGATACGAACACGTATCGAATATAATTTATACCAGGGCCGGATCGACCAAACTGTTTTGGGGCCGGAACGTCCAAACCAGGGCCGGGACGTCTTTTTTTTACCAGGGCCACAACCGACCAGGGCTGGATCGTCTAGAAATCGTCCGGCATTCCCCGCGAATACCCACAAAATAATTCGAATCAGCATCCAATACAGCTGCTGATTTACCTGTATGTCCAGACTTCATTTGTTATTCGTTTCTTCGCAATTGTTCTTAAAGAACCCCAGTGCCAAGAATGGGAGAAGGAGGTTTCACAAAAATCCACCACCATCAACCGCTCTAAGGCTTCTGAAAAGGATACCGGACAGACGCCATTTTTGCTTTTTGGAGGGGAATGAACACACGGCTAACACTGCTGTTTATATATGGTGCTGTATTCTGTATTATTCGACGTAGATAATATCGTGTACACGATGAGGCAAGTTTCATTATTCACACTCGTACGCTGATAGATACACTATTTACAGTTTTATCCAAAAGAGTTGCCTCTGATGCTATGTCTCCAAAATTGTGCATGGGTGTGGGACGAGATCTACTAATCAACCTTCCTGCTAATCATCATGATCTGTAAAAACTGGGTTTCGGATTTTTTTCTCGTCACCTTAAATCGCAATTCTGACTATACAATTGGCCTTGAACCAATAGCAATCTAAATGTCACTAAAATGTCAACACCTCTGGCAAGAGATAAAAAAAGACATATTTCATTAGTACTGATATTATGATATTCAACTCGCGAAATTTTGAGATTTTGCATGCGGTGTAATTTTTGCAAGTGTTATATTTCGCGATTTCACATTGGGCTAAGAATACAATGAATGATGCATTTCAGGATTGAATTCCAGATTGATTGCACTGCTTAAACTTAATAATATCAAGTACATTTTGTAAATTACATTTGATGACCTATGAATTTGCCTATGTGTTTTTTGTTCATTACAGATTTTCCCCTGTACTATTCATATTCATTTAGCCTGGAGGAGGGGCAGCGGTGTTAACCCGAAAAACTATTTGTCTGTTCTTGTTTGTCCTAGTAATGATTTAATCGAATTTTTCGTTGAAAATGGGTGACCTTTCAACAACGTAGTTCATGCACTGATTTTGTAAATATTTATGTTGACTAATGCATGTCACCCTGTCTATTTAGAAGACGTAATTCCCAAATAACAAAATGATTGCCTATTGTTTATGTACGTATGTAAGATTCTCACTGTAGTAAACAGCTCGCCTAGTACTAAATTGGATAAGCTCAGTTTATTACATGTACAATAATGTGCGGTATTGAATACAAAAAACACGATTATTACCAAATAGTTTCGTCGGCTTCGCCATTTTGTTTCTGATCAATTCATGACAAACCGTTAAATACGTATTGTGTTTGAAAGATGGTGCTAGGACCCTGAAACTATTGCATACAAATCGTTTTTTCAACATCGGTCATCAGTGCGCATGTAATCGACTGAGCTTATCTGAAAGTGTCTGGTACAAAGCTCCGCTTGGGCCTTTCAAATACATCATGAGACAACGAGACCTTTTTTACTCGTTTTCAAACTAAAACAATTTTACTACAGGAACGCGTTTGAAAACTACTAACACGTATTTTGTTTCCTGTGGTAGTTTTAAGAGACGTTTCAAGTGTGAGCCAGAATTAAAACAATTGAGGACTTCACAATTTAGGCTTGATTTGTAAAGAGTGACTGACACCTTTTTGAGACTAGTGTTAATGTATGAATTTAATGCTGGGTTACATCCTGTTACTGGGATTCAATGCTTCAGTTAGAGACATGATGTTAGAACCTCAGAAGGGGGCGTGGCATATTTTTGAATGATGGCGGGGAATCTTCATATATCAAAGATTATTTCTAAAACTGATGATGATTTCAATCAAAACTTTTTAGTAGACAAGATAGATGCATGTTTTTTCAACTGTGACACGGAAAATAATGAAACATAAATTAGAATGAATGAATGTGTAGAAATCTGATACACTTACATATCACTACGGTTCCTACAATTCGACAGCTTGCCACCAAAAATCTTCAAAAGAAAGTCCAACAGTATAACCATAATTTTAAAAAAAATAACGCGTAAACGTTGCTTGAAAACAGGAGAGGTAAAAGCTGACTTTGACCTCAGACTAGTAATACAATTACAATATTACTAGTCTGAGTTTTGACATAGGCTTCATGGAAAAGATGCAAGTCCCCTTCCAGCGCCCTCTACAGTTCAATATTCTATCCCACAATTCGTTGCAAAATCCAATATGGAGTTAACACATTTCTTCCATATATTGGATTGGGTCACACTGTTGAATGGTGTGAACTCGTAGACATGTGTGTGATTGAAGAATGTGAATGAGGCAGAATCGTATACTATCTGTCAGTGGTTGAAGAGAGTATATTTCAATTTGCTGACCCATGAAGAAACTGACCGGAAAAAATAAATACTTTGTTTTCTGTCAAACAAAATACATTCAGGCAAAGATTACATGCTATTGGTCGCTCGACAGCAACTTAGGCGTGTTATGTATTTGTTTTTAATATATTTTGAACTGTTTCTAATAAAAACAAATTCCGACGCCGTGCAATATCTGCCAGACTTCGTCTACTCGTCTCTTGTTTTATGGGACCTAAAGACCCAATTTCACTTATTTTTTTGCAGCTAGAAACCTGGTAGAACCACTGAATCGAAATCTTTTTAATTATGGGGGAGGGGGTGTCCCTAACCCGCCATGTGCACGTGATTGTGATTGTGTACCATATTAACAGGGAGCACAGGTATATTATCTACAACTTTGCCTACAGATTTTACAACCACCCGGTACGGTGTTTAGCATAAAGGTGGCGACGACACATATATAATTTACACCAGGGCCGTAATGACTATCCTGTTTTGGGGGCCATAATGTCTAAAGCAAGGCCGTAACGTCTTTTTATTTACCAGGACCGGAACGTCTAGAAATCGAATTTATTAATATGTTTATTTACGCGTGTTCTTCGTCCCCCCTCAGATGATACGGTCCAAATCACGTAAATACTAGTACCCAAACCATTCGTTTCAACACTGTTACTAACCGTGGTTCCAATCTTTCATGCCAAACTTGTTGCAAATTAATTTGCTAATTACGTAGTAAATTCAATAGCCATCTTGAAAAACTGCAGTTTCATCGACATTTTCCCGACCAGTAAAAAAGAATTATTGCTACGGCTGGGTCAATCTTTGCGGCATACTGTGTGCCTGAACATCGACACGTTATACCACAGACCCTATATGGTCTATAGAGGGACTGTGGCCATACCACGGCTACTAAAAATACGACATAGAAACAAATCGCGTTTTTTTCATTAGATACATTTTGCGGGTAAACATTTGAAACAGAAAACGTACTAATCCATGGCAAGGATAGGGTAATCATTAACTTAAAATGACGACAGCAAATCATGCAAACTTAAAGTCAAATATAAAATCAAATTTGAAATAAAAGAAATATAAAAATAAGTATTAAAACTCATCCTTTCAGCTCTCCTATTTTCTTCCATGGCTAAACTGTCAATAGGTTATGTGACATTATGCGTGTTTTTGTTCTTAATTTGCGTTTGTATTTTTCCTCCCATTGTTCACGCAAATGTTAAAAAAACATATGCATAAAAAACGTCACTACTTACATAATGCTTCTTTGGGATTCATCTTCGACATCAATCACACTCTGAAAATCCAATCATCAAACACAAACAATTATTAAAATAATGACGCAGACTTTTGATTTAAAACAATAAAACAACCTAATCCTTGGATGACCGGGTATAGACACCTGCTTTTAGACAGATATAGTAGTGAATATTTGTATTTCGTAAAATAACATTGATTGTATTCTCTAGCCATCGTTATATGTTACGGCCACATATGCATTGTGCTGAAGACAGTGTTCGACAAAACCGAAACAAATCACACCATTATAATTATAATTATTTAACTTCCTGGATGTTTCTCCATTATAACGATCACATATTCTACCAGAATACACGCACAATTACGAATTTTACTTTGTCAACATGCAAACGAGCTGCAGATAATTATATTATTAGGTTGGACTCGGTGAGTGTGAACGATGAATTCGGAAATAATGGAAATCGAACAAACACTTAACAAATTGAGGACAATCGCTTGACATTTGCATGCAATTAGTTGCCAGTAATTAATTTCCGCACTCACTAGCAATTATCTTGCCCAATGGGGCTTTAAAATAATGCGTTCTCCGTGTTCTCATCATTTACAGACACGAGCAGTTCCGTGTTGATCTCTGGTAAGTGACCCGTACCATTAACATTGTAAAATGCCGTCTGATATTATGCGACGCTTTGTTTTCAAACACATCAAGCTCAAGAATATTTCTATCCTAATTCGTTTCGATTCGACTATTTCCCAATCTACTGACTATTTTAGTGACTAGTCGTTTTCTTGCACTGAATCAGAGACCGATAATTTTCCGTTCTAGACACTTTCGCATCTTACGAACCGACAGTATAATTCAGTCGTAATAATTCGTATTCGATCGTTTTTAGTGTAGCTCATGTGTCGCATACATGTGTCTGGGGACGATATTGTTTCGTGTATTGTTTTAATGCATTTCGTACGCTATTAATAACAAATGAATGATTTTAATTCTGTTATTTGACAGCATTCATCACAGAATAGCGATGGGTCCTAGGCTTCAGAGATGTCTTTTCTATACTATATTGTTATATACAGTGGCAGCCGATATGAGCTATTTCTATGACAGTAGTAAGTGACATCTATAGTTGCAATAATAAATGCCTAGGTGGTAAATCATTATTTTTTCTACTTGTAGAATCTAACGGATATGATAATGTATAAATATATACACGCAATTCATAATATTATTGTTGTTTATATCAATTGCCAGGCGATATTCCAGTCTCTTCTTACTCATACGGCGACGTTGGCAGTGGTGATGGAAATTATATTTTAGGTAAGCCTTATATCACTGTAATAATTATGGAGGGGTCATTCATTTTTGACGGATTGGCAAGACTGGGGACAGAAGCGCGACAATGATTCAGAAAAAACGAAGGAATATGTGTGCAAAACTTTGTGATATACACGGAACATGATTTTTTCGCATATGCATTCCACTTTACTAGATTTTAAGAATATAAAATACACCATCTATTTGGATGAAGTCACGTGGTCGGATGCAAAACTTATATGCAAAGCCGAGAATTCAATTCTCGCGAGAATTCCTGACCAAGCCACGCAAGATGCGATAACACAGTTTATTGATGACGAAGTATCTACAAACACAGGTAACATATTTTCGAACTCTCTCATAACTCTTGTAATCGGGAAAAGAATTGCAACACTGTCGTGTTATTGAGCGACGGAGACGCGTTTTAAGCTAAACTGTTAAATCTACGCTATGTGACTGGAGGTCCACTAGACTAGAACTGGAACTGACGAACATTGGTTTCGTATTAAAATTATGGAATCTTTTCTATTTGTGCAGTGAATTAAATCACTGCCTCACGTCGACAGTACGGACGAGTAAAATGTCCACACTTTGAACTATCAAATAGAATAAGTAGAAGAGTCAGATGCTATTACATTTTTGGTAGTCAGTGAGTTATTTAAAATTTGACAAGGAAATACATATATCAAACAATTTAAAAACAAAAAAGTTGACAAGTGAACGTAAAAATATTGCACCTCAATTGTTAAATGGTCTATTTTCAATCTGTTGCATGTAGAAAATATTGCTCAGTAAGTCTTGCTGACCACTTATTCAACCTGTTTTTAACAACGACGAAACATCGGCATTCACTAGGCATCACGTGGTTGTGAAATTAACTACGTGCAAAAACAAACTAAATTGAGAAAATTGCTCATACGTAATGCCGTGGTACGTACTCCACAGACGAAATGGTCTTTGTCTTAGAGGGATGGGATGCAATGCACAATACAGAATACACAACCTTTCAAATTCGCCTGTTTCTGTGTTAAAAAAAAACAATCCCAAAACACCCCAAACCTTCCAATCGATGTTTATTCGATCAAATTTCACGACCGTCTCGGTGATTTAAACAGTATATGCTCAGCTATTATGGGGGTTATTACGAG